TGATCTTCACTCTGTCGGGCTGGGCGGTGGGCGGTGGGCAGTGGGCAGTGGGCACGAGCAGGGGCAGAGGGTAAGGGGAGGATCGTTTGTGTGCCGTTGGGGAATGCGTGATCGTGTTGCTCACGTGAGCGCTGCTCAGCGGATTTTTCGAGTCCTCGAGAAAATGAACGTGTGTCTCTGAGAGGTGGGCCAGGAGGTTTCAGTGGGCTCTTCCCTTGTTTTCAGGACTCCGACTTCAGCTTGCCGCCTGGTTCCACCCCTGGTCCCGCGGGGAATCCAGTTGTCAAGCTGCAGGACGCCTTGGCCAGTAACGTGAGTCTGGTCTTCTGCCCCAGCTCTGTTGTCCCCGTTGACAGCCTGGGAGAAGAGAGCCCCGTGCGGCGCCCACAGCTGTCCCCACTTTGGGGTTGGGCAGACCTGGGCTCGAGTCAGGACGCCGTTCCTAGTTACTTACACGTCTTCCGATAACCTGCTCAGACGTCCCATTCCCGTTTTGTGGTCTTAGAATGGGATGATGTAATTTTTAAGATTTGGTTTATTTGGCACTCTTCGATTTTGTGTTCTTCCGAGGCCCGTGGTCACGTGTTTGAGAATGCTGGGCTAAGCTCCTTTGCTCTGGGGTTTCTCCGAACCCCTGCACTCTGCTGGTAGGCAGAACGCGTCCACGGGGGAGGGCCTAGTCGTCGCGTTCCCCAGCACGTTACCAGGGACCTGTTTTTCACAGTCTCCTGGAGGTCTCCAAGCCCGGTAGTGCTGTCTGCGTGCTGGCAGCGAGGCGTTTGTGTGACACACACACAGCTGCCCGTGCTGCAGGGCTTGGGCTGCGGGTGTGGAGTGGCTCCATGGACTTTCCTGTGCAGGGAACTGACGGAGGCTGCTGTGAGGAGACAAACTGGTCTCGGCAGCCAGCAGCTTCATCTTGGTGGTCTTAAGTGCATATGAACAAAAAGGTGTTTCGTGACACGTCTTGCTTCTCTATGCCTGTTGGTGCTCCATGGTTCCCTGTACCCCCACCAGGCTGGGTTAACGCAGAGTATTCCCATCCTCCGCCGGGATCACCACATCCAGAGGGCCATCGGCCTCTCCCCGATGTCCTTCCCCACTGCCGACCTCACTCTGAAGGTAACGCCAGCCCCGTCCCCTCGGCCTAGGTTGTGCCGCCCCCGCCTCCTGCGGTACCTTCCCTCACCGCTCCCTCGCTTCTGCAGATGGAGTCCGCACGCAAGGCCTGGGAGAACTCACCCAGTCTGCCGGAGCAGAGCTCGCCCGGCGGCGCTGGCTCGGGCATCCAGCCCCCGTCCTCTGTGGGCGCCTCCAGCGGGGTCAGCTACAGCTCCTTCGGCGGTGTGTCCATGCCGCCCATGCCTGTGGCCTCCGTGGCACCTTCCGCTTCTCTACCAGGTATCTCCCCCACAGCCGGCTCTGGGAGCCGCCTCTCAGGCGTGGGGCTGCGCCCTGGACACCCCGTTAGGAGTCTGTGCCCGTGGGGTGTTTCTGGGCTGGGTGATTATGGGTTCTCCCGGGCCGCAGGTAGCTCGTACTTCCTGCTTCCCTGCTTTCTGTCTCCCCTGTTCTGGGGCGCTGAGCCTCGGGGCTGGCGAGGCGCCTCCCGCCTCCCGGAGAGAGGAGCAAGCAGAGACTGGGCTTTCAGTCTGACTCTGGGCACGTGCGGGGGGCGGGGGGGGGGCGTGTTGCCTCCGGCCAGTGAGCAGCTCGGCTCTGAGGCCTGGCCCCCTGCTGTGTGAAGTAAGCCGGGTGAGATGATGGCATAGCCACACCCACAAGAGGAGGCCTCACCTGGGAAGTGCTTTGTATCAGCTGAACCCCCAGTCAGTGGCGGCCACGTTCACCCTTACTGTCCCCGTCTTCGTTACTGTGTCGGCACCCGGAAAGAGAGGCTGGGGGTTTCGAGGGCCCGGCTGCCGAAGTCTCAGTGATGCGGTTCCAATAGATCCTTCTGACCCTGCACTGTGGACTCTATAGCAGGGGGATGAAGAGGGACGTGACTGAGAGACCGCGGCAGCCCTCGCTTCCAGGGCCGCCCTCTTCCTGGGCCCGTGCCGCGGCCTGTCCAGGTTCCCTGCTGGGGAGCCAGGGTGTCGTCAGTGGGCCTGGTGCTGCAGGAGCACCGGGCCCACAGACCTGATCGTCTTGTGTCTCCTTGGATTCTGTCTCTAGGCAACCACCTGCCGCCCCTCTACCTGGATGGCCATGTGTTTGCAAGTCAGCCCCGGCTGGTTCCTCAAACGATACCTCAGCAGCAGAGTTACCAACAGGTGATGACAGCAAGCCAGGTGGGCTGGTGGGGCAGGGGGGAAGCGGCACATGGCACAGTTACTTTCTTTGTTTGTCGTCCGTCTCATTTCCTGTGTTCCTCACACATACTGCCCAGCACCTGGCACGTCATGGCAGCCACTAAACGTTTGTTGAGTGAATAAACGGGAGATGAGGAAGAGGAACGGAGCTCAGCACCCCAGGCGTTGCTTAGCTTTCCTTTCTCAGCGTTCTCCTCCCCTGGGGCCTAGCTGGGGGATCCGCTGAGATGGAATTCTCTTTGGTGATCAGGTACCCTTCTGATGAAGAGAAGAAAGGCCTAGGCTCCCAGGCATGGATGCGTTAGAAAGAGGTAGTTTTAGAAACGAGCAGGTACTTGTTTTCATGCAGGATTGGCATATTTCCTGTGCTGCAAGGGGATGATTTCCGGAGGCCTCCCTCTGGAAATTGGTGTAGGGCCTTCCGAATGGTCCAGCACCCCCAGACTCGTGTGCCTGCTCAGACCGGGACGGTGGAGCTCTTAGCAGGGGCGCTGCCTGGAGTGCAGCCTCGGACGAGAGGACAGAGGGCTCGGCCTGTCCTGATCTCTTTCTGAACACGTGTGTGAATATGAGGCTGTTCAGCAGCGTTTTGGTTCTCGTATAACTGGAGCAGACTGCGTGTGTGCGCACGTGCGCTGTCCGCCACCGTCGCGTGTCTGAAACCCACCTGTGGACGTGCATAGCCAGGGTTCGTCCTCGCTGCTGTGCAGGACCCAGCAGAGGGGTGCGCCGCGCTGCGGGCTCGCTACCCGTGTTCTGCTTTTTCCCAAGAGCACAGGAAGGACACGCTTGAATTTGCATTTTGGGCAGTGTTCCAGTTGCCACATGGAGAGGGGCTGGGGAGCGGGGCCGGGGAGGAGAGGGACAACCTGGAGGCCCCGCAGTTACCTGCTTGGCTCCCCGACAGGCCGCCGCTGCCCAGCAGATCCCGCTGTCCCTTCACACGTCACTGCAGGCTCCCGCCCAGCTGGGGCTGAGGGGCGGGCTCCCCGCCTCCCAGTCACAGGAGATCTTCAGCTCCTTGCAGCCCTTCAGGTGAGGTGGGGGGACCGAGGAGCCAGCAGCTCACAGCCGGAGGTCCAGGCCTGTGTGACCTGTGACCGGTGCGCTTTGTCCTGCCGCTGCTTCTCACTTCTCCGCTTTGGGGCGGGGGTGGGGGCAGTTAGTTACTTAACAGTTCTTAATAACTGCGCTTCAGGAGAGCCGGGGGGCCTGACCCATCCATGCCAGGCCGTGGTTTTCTCTCCACCTCATCCTGCCCCCTTCCCTGCTTCTCTGACCTCTGCCCTCCCCACGCCTCCCTCCTTCCACTGCCTTCGGTCTTCTCTTCCACTGTGTCTGACGTCCGTGCTTTTGGCATCACGTGAGTTTTCCTGTGCTTTATACATCTCGGATGTGTTTAATCCAGTGATGCTCAAACCGTGGTCCCTAGACCCATAGCATCGGCAACATCTAGGAGGTGGTTATAAATGCACGTTCTCAGGCTCCCTCCCAGACCTTCTCAGTCAGAAACTAGAGGTGGGGCCAGCAGTGTGTTTCCAGAAGCCCTCTGGGAGTTTGTTGCAGGCCCGAGTTTGAGATCTCCTGGTGTACCCACGCACCTGACCCCCGACTGTCTGGCTGGCTTTTGCAGATCTCAGGTGTACATGCACCCCAGCCTGTCACCGCCCAGCACCATGATCCTCTCAGGAGGCACAGCCTTGAAGCCTCCGTACTCGGCGTTCCCCGGCATACAGCCCTTGGAGATGGTGAAGCCCCAGGCCGGCTCACCCTACCAGCCCTTGAGCGGAAACCAGGCCCTGGTCTACGAGAGCCAGCTCGGCCAGGCTGCCAGTCTGGGCGCCTCCCAGATGTTGGACTCCCAGCTCCCACAGGTCAGGAGTCGTTGCTCCCACCCCCGAGCTCTAGGCCTAGCTCCGTCATGACGGCCCTTCCCTTTTCTCCGCCACGTGACTGGTTCTTGGGCTGCTGGAGCCCGGGCAGGTGCTCGGCCTCTTCTGAACAGGGCCATCACCTCTTTATCTCCACAACCCGGCTCCCCTAAGGGCACGCTCTCCTGCGGCCCCTCGCACCCTCGGATTGTGGGGCTTGGAGATGGGGAGAGTGTCTTGTCTGCAAACCCGCTGGTGCTGCCCCGTTTTCCTGGGAGTATGTCTTCTGGGCCTGAATTTGAGTCCGGCAGGCTGTCCACGTCCCTGCTCCAGCCTCTAGTACCTGAAACCTGACTTATGCAAACGTCACGTCGAAAACATTTTTTTCCTGGTCCTTTATTTTGTCCAGCCTATGTCATCCTTGGGTCCCTATTTTTCCTTATACTGCCTCTGACCTTTCCGGTCCTGTTAGCTCCATGTTTGAAAAATATTCAGAATGCAGCCATTTCTTGTCCCCTCTGCCCGTACCCTGTCCAGGCTGCTGCAGGAGCTTTCCCTCCTGCTCTCTGCTTCTGCTTTTGGGCCCAACGCTCCATTCCCAACACAGCAGCTGGGGCCCCTTCGAAACAAGCCAGGCCATACCTGAGCCAGCGCTCCAGAGATGGCGGCGCCGTCCTCGTCTCTGCCCTGCACCTTGCTGTGCATGAGGTGGAGCGTGGGGCCTCGAGGTTCTGGCTGCCACGTGTCTCAGTGATGCAGTCCCAATAGATCCTTCCGACCTGCCACTGTGGACTCAATAGCAGGGAGATGAAGAGGAAAGTGACTGAGAGACGAAAAGTGGCCCGCCCCGACCCCCGTCCCAAGAGGCTGCAGGCCTCCCCCTTCCCCTCACCACACCACCGTGTTCTGGACATTGGAAGTGCCACTCGGCCCTGTGCTTCTGCCATAACGTGCTTCAGGAGCATCCCGGGGGGCTCCAGTTTCGTTCTAAAAACCCCAAACAGGACCCTGTTGAGTCCTGTCTCCTGTGACCTGTGGAGGCAGAACAGCAAAGACTTGCTGCTCGGAGGGTACAAAGGTCACTTCCTGCGCAGCTGTCCCCGTCTGGGGCCTGTTCGAGCGTCGCTTCCTGAGGGCCGTCCCGACCTCCCCTGCCTCCCCTGCCCCACGGGGCTTGCTGTCTGCACTCTGCGCACACTAGCCGTGTCCAGCCCGTCACTACAATGCCACCGCGTTTCTGGGTCTGACAGTTCCTGGCGCATCCCCAGCACATTGTGTGTATTCAGTGAGCCTTTGTTGGACGAAAGCAAGAAGCGCTGGGGCCTTGGAGAGGAGCCGTCCCTCACACAGGGTGGCCAGGGTGGCGCTGGCCGTCCGGCAGGCTCAGCCCTGTGGCTGTCTCGCCCAGTGACAGGCCGCCCCTGCCGCACTCTGTAGAGCGGCCAGCTCCGCTCTGTGCGATGGCCCCGCCTTCATCTCTCTGAGATGGGAATCTGAAGTGTAAGGTGCTTGCTCTTGGGCGTGTGTGTAGGCAGTGGTGTGTGGCCTCCCCAACGTCCATTCCTCCTCCTGACTGTCCCCATTGTCCAGCAGCTGACGATGCCGCTGCCTGGCTCCCAGCTGCCTCTGCCCCGGTATGGCTCCGGGCAGCAGCCCCTGATCCTGCCGCAGTCCCTCCAGCTGCCCCAGGGCCAGAGCCTCTCGGTCGGGGCTCCCCGCAGAATTCTACCCCCCGGGTCCCAGCCTTCGGTCCTCCACACCAGCAGAGAGGTGAGCACGAGCACGTCCTGCTGCGGTCTCGGAAGGGTCCTTGTCGCCTCCGCCCTTTACGTTAGTCGAGGGCCATTGTGGCAGAAAACGCCAGAGGCCTGGGTGCCAGCTCCTGGCCTCAGCACAAAAACGTAGTTCTCGATCCCATGGCCAGCCACACAGACGAGCTCAGGGGTGAGCCCCGAGCAGAGGGAGGGTGGGCGTGTGCAGTCCACGCCCGAGTTTCCTCCCCTCGGCCGAGGTCATATCTGTGGAGTCTGTTTCAGGAGCAGGTCCCCGTAGCCACGTTGCTCCCTGGCTCCTGGGGGCTCTGCTAAGGGTGGCCTCTGCGGGTAGAGAGATCATGGTCTGCACACCCGGCCAGTGCCCTGTGGTGGTGCCCAGACCACTCTCCCCACCCACTTGACAGAACCACTGGATGGCGCTGCTTCCAGGGGACAGCCCTCAAGCCCGGCCTGCGAGGGGCGTGGGGAGCTTGTTGACCCCCACACTCTGGAGATTCTCTTGGGCCTCGTCGGCTCTGCCCGGCGGTCAGCGAGGGCCGGGCTGTGGAGGGTAACTTCTACTTTGCTCTCTTTAGTCCTCTCAGATAGAGATGAAGGGCTTCCACTTTGCCGACAGTAAACAGAATGTTCCTTCGGGAGGCTCCATGTCGTCACCGCAGACCTACAGGTAAAGAGCTACCCTGGGGGTGGCTGCTGCAGAGCTGATCGGCCGCTGTAGATGGGACACTGGTTCAGGAGCATCCGAGGGCCCCGGGAGGGCAGCACAGAGGCACTGAGGCTGGGTCCCCTTCGCAGGCCGATGTGTCCTCCTTGAAGCGTCAGTTCTGGGACACACCCGTGTTGTGTTTAACCACGAGAAAGTCAGGAATTGGGAGAGTGGTTTTATTTTTAATCATCATAAGGTGCTCTGGAGCTTTCTGGAAAGGTAGGAAGAGGAATGGCTAATGTTTTGATAGTGTTGGGACTGACGCTGACTGCTCACTGTCTTCTCAGCAGCTTTTAAAGGGTTCACTGGCTGAGAAGGCACACACCTGAGAGGGGAGGGGCGTGGCCTTTCCCCAGCACCGGGGCCCTGCTCTGGCCTCTGGCCTCTGGCCTCTGGCCTCTGACCCTGCCAGGACTGGGTGCTGCGGGGCTTGCGGGGCCGTGCCTTCCACAGGGTGAGCTGGCACCTCCTCCGTGTCTGTCTCCTCCTCCAGTAACTGCCCCAGGTCCCGTGACTGGGTTCGGAGGTAGCTTCGTATGAACTGTTCTGTTGAATTACTTAACCACGTGGAGAGGTCAGAGAACCTCTGGTTCCACTGCCCCTCCCCCGCCCCAGCGGGAGCGTATGCAGGCGTGGGAGGGCAGCACACTGGCTCTGGCCCGAGGGTTGTGCATTTGGCCCTTGTTACACATGGGACGTTCTCAGACATGTCTCCTGTGTGTAAGTGAGTCAGACCGCTGGCTGGGGTTTCCCGGGAGGGGTTGACCGCGAGGCTGCAGAGTGCCACCAGGTCCTGGCGGATGTGGAGCTCTCCTGCCAATCAGGTCACCCTCTCCCCTTGCCGTGGTCACTCTGGAGTGTCGGGGCCGAGCCCTCGTCTTCCACATCCTTCCATCCTTCTAACTGCATTTCCAGAGAAAGGCGTTGCTGTGACTTTTTCCATTTCACCATCTTTTCTGTTCTTACCTTCATTGTGTTGGCTTCCCTTATTTTTGTCTGTTAGCTTGCTGTGTTTTCCGATCCTGGTTTTTACATAGGCCAAAGCGACAGAGCTGTACGAAAAGTACATATAGGCAGCAGCACAGAACAGTGAGTGTAATTTGAAAGACAGAAGCTTCCAGTTTAAACAGATGCTGTCGTTCCTCTGCTGCCTTTGGCCGAATCGGCAGCATCTGGCTTCAGAGCCTTCCTCAGGCTGGTCCAGAAAACGGAAGCTCATGTAACAAGCCACCTGGGTCCACCTAGTGGGGGTGCAGGGGGTGGCAGCGGCGGAGACTTTTTGGGAAAACAGTTCTTAATTAGCAGCCTTTGTTTTGTTGGTGTTTCATGGCGTTTGGGTGAATTGCCGTGTCTTTATAGAGAAATGTTTCCCAGGTCTTCTGGAAACGGCTTCTGAGGCCTAAGAAAGGCCCCCTGGGGGTGCTGGATGGGGCCGGCCTGCAGGGGTCCTGCCCGCGGGGGGCCCTGCCCCTGGGCGTGGGGCATGGGCAGTCTCATTGTCCGGGGCCCTGTCGAGCTCTGCACACAGCACGCCTCACGCTTTTGGATCATGGAGCCTGTCTTTTTTTTTTTTTTTAATGTAGCACCTAATTAACACCCCTGGGAACCAGTGATCTGGTCAGTGGGACACGTTCTTTTCAGGGTCTCTCCCCCCGCCCACCAAAAGTGAAGGCTAGAATGAACTCGGCATGACTCTTATATCAGGGTTAGACCTTTTGTCCGCTTATGGAATCACGTTGGTCCACATCCTCCAGACCCCGAGAGATGGTCAGTGTCTGCCCACAGCAGGGACCCGGCCTCTGCTCCTCGGGTGCATCGCCGTGGGCTGCGATGGCAGCGACGGCCGCCCTCACCCCTTCTGCACTCTGGCCGTCTGAGGTCCTTGTTTCCCTCCCTCGGGAGGTCCGCGAGCCCAAGCCAGGGCCGTCGCACCAGGCTCGGCTCCGCGTCTGTGGCTCCGCGCATGTTCTCACCCCCTGCCTTTGGTTTTTTCAGGCCTAGCTCTGCTAGCCCCAGTGGGAAGCCCTCTGGATCAGCAGTTAACATGGGCTCTGTGCAGGGACACTACGTTCAACAGGTAGAAAACGGCTTTCCAGCCCCTCTAGCCCTGGACGCTTAGGCCCGTCCCCAAGCGCCAAAAGAGAAGGGACAGTCCAGCCCAGCCCATTTGAGCGCTCCTCTCATAAAGAGAGACGTGCCCGAGCGTTAGAGCACGGGGCCAGAGCCCAAGCCCGATGCCTAGCGTCAGAGCACGGAGTCTGAGCCCGATGCCTGGCGTTAGAGCTCGGAGTCTGAGCCCGATGCCTGGCGTTAGAGCACGGAGTCTGAGCCCGATGCCTGGCGTTAGAGCTCGGAGTCTGAGCCCGATGCCTAGCGTTAGAGCACGGGGCCAGAGCCCGATGCCTAGCGTTAGAGCACGGAGTCTGAGCCCGATGCCTAGCGTTAGAGCACGGGGCCAGAGCCCGATGCCTGGCGTTAGAGCACGGGGCCAGAGCCCGAGTCTCTCCTGGCGAAGGCGTTGCTCCTCCACGGCATCTGGATCCTTCCTTGTCCTGTGGAGAAGGGAGGATGCAGTGTCCTCAGAGAAGGTGACGCTGGCAGGTGGACTCTCCCGCGTTGCGATTTGGGCTGTGAAGGCGCCGGGCCGGGGTTAGGTCTGTGGGTCAGCTCTGGAAGCCGGGGCGTGTGTGTGCGTGCGCGTGTGTCGTGCGCCTGCTAGCTCTAGAAGTGCTGTGTCCGTGTCTGTCTGGGCTGGGAGGGGCAGCAGGTGGAATGGCGTCTTCCCGTTCCATGACGGAAGGTGTTTCTCAGTGTCCTGGCCGTCAGCACTGGGCTCTCCACTCTGAAACGCGGCGGGCTCCAGGGCTCAGGCGTGTCGGGCGTGGGGTTAAGAAAACAGCGTTCCTGGCTGGTGGCCGTGGAAGGTGGCCTGCTCACGCCCCTCCTGCTGGCATTTCCCGGAGGGTCTCCGTGAACTGCCCGGACCGAGCTTCTGAAGCTTTCTTCCGGGGTTCGCACTGCAGTGTGGGGGCGGGGCCGAGGCTGGGCCTGCGATGCCCCCTGTGCAGAGCTGAGTATGGGGCCCCTGCCTGGGCATCTCGAGGTCACGCTCGGGTCCTGGGGAGAGGTCTTCACAGAGTTTGTGTCGGGAGGGTCAAAGGTCTGGGAGCACCCAGGCTCCTCGCAGGTCGGTCCCCTGGGGGCCTGCGGTGCACTGATTTGAAAAGGTTCTTCCAGCGGCCGCATGTGTGCTGCTACCGGAGATCCTGCTGGCATCACGGGGTGCTCCTCAGAGGACCCCGTGTCTTCCCGCCTCTCCAAATCACTGCACTCAGTGCCCGCAGGAGGGGACAGAGCAGTGTCACCCGTGTTCCCCCCTTAGAGCTGCTCTAAGTCCGCCCTCGACCGAAGGATGGATTTCTCAGAGTGGCCTTTCCCTGTGACTCAGGAGCAGGAAGCGGGTGGCGGGGACTGTTTGTCCAGACAGCTGGCTCTGCGTATGGCTGACTTCTTTGACCCCTCTCATCTGTCCAAAGGCAAAACAACGAGTGGATGAAAAGCCCAGCCTGGGAGCCGTGACCCTGCAGGAGGCCCCCTCGGCCGCCTCCCAGATGAAGCGAACGGGCGCCATCAAGCCTCGAGCAGTGAAGGTGGAAGAGAGCAAGGCCTGAAGGTGCTCGGCCGCGCCTCGCCCCCGAGGACAGTGCCGCCACCTGCCGGGCACAGCCGTGGGCTCGGCCATCTCAGCAGATGCCGCCCGAGCTCTGGCCCGGACCGCGAGGGCTCCCTTCTCTCCGCTCCGGAAGCCCCGCCGTCCAGCCAGCCTGCGCCGTGGGTCTGTGGCGCTGACCCGCTTGCTTCCAGACGAAACAGACACACAGCCGACGACCCCCCTCGCGCCCCGCTCCGTGCTGACAGTGCCGGCTCGAGCCCTCCCGCCTGACCCCCTGCCCGCTCCTCAGCCGGGCGCGTTCCCGGCACCGCTCCCCACTCCCGGTCCCCGGCACAGTGGGTCGGCCCCTGGGTCTTCTCAGCTGGAGGATCTTTGTTTTAAAAAGCAGCTTGAGGTTTTTACAAAGGGGAAAGGAAAACAAAACAAAACACGAGCTACGCGTGTGCAGCTGGACTTTTGTACGTCGTTTTCCGGCCTCGCCTCGGCCCCCACCGCCCCAGCAGTTCCCTTCCATCTCTCTCCTGTTTATTTGACACATCACTGCGATACCTTAACAGACGACGTAACGGGTCCCCTCCTGCTCGCTCCCTGTTGTTTAAGCTTCGAGGGTGTCTGTGGAAGGAGGAGGTTGCCTGAGACACCTCGGGAGCTTCCCGGTGTCCAGCGCATGCTTCGAGGCAGTGCCGTGAGGGAGGTGAGCTGGGTCGAGGTCTCAGCTGGTTCTAGCCCGTGGCCTGATGGCCGCACAGAGCCTGCGGGCAGCCCGGTGAGGTCGACGATGTTTTCGGCGTAAGAATTACACACAATTTCTGTCCTGGACTCTTCTGAAGCCAGTGGCTGTGCTCTCCTCTGGCCCTGGGGCGTGTCATGGAGGCACCGAGCCGCCGGTGTTCTCCGGTTCGGCCTGGACAGCGTGAGCTGGCGCCGCCACAGGCCCCGTCAGCGTCTCTGCTTGTGGGGCTCCGGCACCCACAGGGGCTGCTGTCACACGCGCTCCCTTTCCTGGAAGCCTGTCTCCTCCCTTCTTCCCGACCCTCTTTCTCGTCCGGATCCTCCTGCCCCTCCACCTCTCACGCTCATTTCTAGAAACCATGAGTAACGAGTGCACGGACAGCGGTGTGGCCAGGGCCTTGGCAGGTGCGTGGTCTGTGAGGCTGTAGGGAGGGCTTCTTCTTTCTCCTTTTCTTTGCTCCCAGCAGCAGACCGGGTTTTTGGGACAGCAGGTCTGAGTCGGGCAGTGGGGACAGCATCAGCCTTTCCAGATGTCTGGGGCAGGATCCACGGGGTTGGTGCGTTGCAGGGCTGGCCGTGGTTCCAGAACCTACCGGGCAGCCCTGGAGGAAGGCCGCCTCTAGCAACATGCTGGTGTGAGCCATTCGATGCTGTGTCACTGTTCGTTTTTTCAGCAAGGACTAGGAGGAAATCGTGTCCGATTCTGTCATTCCGAGGAAAGGGAGGGGAAAATTCACGTTTTGTACTCGCTCTTCAGAGTAAGCAAGCAGCCCTCCGTCTGGAGTTGCCACTGCCTGCGACCGCCAGTGGTTCCGCGAGGACCTGGCTGGGAGGACGGGCAGCAGGCGGGTGGGATGTGCCCCGCAGAGTCCACCCTCCGTGTGCCCGCCGGCGTGTGACGGCCACTCGGGCTGCGGTTTCAGCCGTGTCCGGTGTAGAGAGCCGTGCGCTGGGGACTGTCGAGGCAACTTGAGTGCCGCTCTCCACCGCTTCGAGGAAGTGGGGGACCACCGCCCTGCAGACGCTGGCCCCCGGCGCGGCCTCTGGAGGGGGCCAGTCGTCCCCAACGACGCCCACTGCTTCACCTGCAGCTCAGCGTCCCCTCCTTGCCTTTTTTTACTTGCTTGTCACTTTCTTTGTGCCGAGTCGTTACTCTGAAGGGCCTTCTGAAGGGGCTGCCCATGCGACAGAGTGGCCCGCTCCCTCCCGTCCCCTGCGCTCACCTGCTCTGCCCCACCTCTGCGCTCTCCCGCTCCATTGCCCAGCGCCCCCCGCAGGAGCCACGCACGCTCACCGCTGCCTGCACACTTAGGAACACGGCCACACCCCTCACACCTAATTCTGGTGTGCACTGTCAGGAGGAAAAAAAGTTCTCTCAGTTTGAAATTGGACAGAACAGTCGCGGATGCTGTTACAAACTCAAGACGCGCCCTTCAGGTGACCCTGCCATCAGAGTGACAGGACTTCCTGTTCTCCAGCCCTCTTCTCCACCCTTGTATCTTCTCCTCCCACCCCAATGAAAACAAAACACTAGAATTTATTTATATGTATTGATGTTGTAGGTCTAGGTGAAGAAAAAGTACACGTTTCACTGCTCTATTTATATATGACGTCTGAACCACTCTGTGCAGGAAAGGCCAGGAAATTGCATGTGAGTTTCAGTGCGTTCACCGCCTCTGTGTGCCCGGGCCGCAGCTCCTCCCACTGAGATGCAGATTTTAAATTGGACTCTGGGGACAGGGCCGGCCCAAGGCCTGCCCAACATCCCATCCCTTGGTCTGAGGAAATGCAGTGTTTAGTGCAGAGATGTTTCAAGGTGCAATATCTCTCTTCCTTTCATGTCGTTTTAGAGCCAAGCTCAAGGTAATAATAGGACTTAGGGTCTTATTTTGGTTTCAGACCCCCATCCTCAGAGCGCAGATCCACGCCGAGGCCTCTGCCAAGATCCCTTGGGGCCTTTGGCAGGAACAGGTAAAAACCCACACTTAGGTTTTCTGCTGCTGAAATGGGGGTGGTGTCAGAGCCCTCCCATACACCTTTGCCTGCTAAAAATGCCCTCCCTTCTGAAGCTGGCAGCTTTGCCCTGGCCATTGATGGTGCAGCCTGTTGCTGGGCAACCCATGGCCCTGCAGTAGTGTGTGTCCTAAGTCAACTACTCAGTGGGGTGAAACCCCAGCGTGTGGAGTCGTGTATCTGAGAAGCAGCGTCCACCCACTGCGGACTTCTCTGCCAGCTGTATTTGGTCTGGTTTTCTTTACTGTTGCTTCCCTTTTTTTTTAATCCACGTTATTTTCAAACTGGGAATTCATACACTTCTGGCTCTGAGTTCCTTAAGGGGGAAAACAAAAGACGATTCACATTCAGAAAAATCTGTCCAGTTCCAAAGCCGTGGTCATTCCAACCACTGCCCAGAATATTGGGGTCTCTTGTCTTTAAACGCCAGCATCTGTTCTCTCCAGCTCTGCTCTCGCCCTCCTCTGGGTCTGCCTTCTGGATGGTCGACGGGGTTTGTGACTGATGTGAGCCAAGGAGACTGAGGGTGTGCACATGGCCGTGTTCAGAACTGGCCAACGGAGGCAGCGTGTGGCAGATTGGTAAAGGTCGTCCCCCGCTGATGGGTTCCCCTCCACCCGGTAGCTGCACGTTTCTTCTGTCTGTCCCTTATCACTTGCAGAGCAGCCTGGGTTAGCAGATCTGTTGGAAATTGCTTTTGACTACCAAGGACACTATTTGTGCTTTGTCGTGTTCTGTGATGAAAAATGCAGACTTCAGAAAGCCAGCTCTTCTTGTTTGAAAATGTGAGATGGACATAAGACAAATAGATCACCGGGGACAGGAGTGGCTCAGCTTTGGGGTCAGACACTGTCCTGTCTCCTAGCCATGCTTTCCACTGGGACCACCAGCACATATTTGGCTAGTGATCTTCAAGGCGTATCCAACCTGCTGTTCACCATTTCCCCACCCCAGTCGGTGGCCTCCAAGATGGTAGCATCCCCAGGGCCCTGTCTTCAGCATGTTATGAAGCCTCGGAGTGGAAATTCCTATTAAGCCTCTGTGTGGATGACTTTCTTCCATTGGTTAAAGGGGATACTGTACTGTAAGCTTTTGACCTCATGCCTTGCATAGTAAAAAGGGTTTGGGGTTTTTTTGTTCTTGACGGGGTTTTTTTATTTTGGCCTTTCCTCTTTGTCTTTTCACGTAGACCAGATATTTGAAAGGGCAGACGATGGCTAAAGGTGTAATGTGCAGCTTGTTTATACCTTATTTTGGGGAAGCTTTTACCTTGGATGGGACATAGAATCATGGATTCACCAGGCCATGGTGGTGGCACCCTCACCCTTCACCCTCCCCTCTGGTTCAGTACCTATTGTTTCTCCTTTCAAATATGTGATTGTACTAGCTCTTTCCATATGAAAGAATTCTCCTTATTTAAATAAAAAAAAGTAAAAAAAACTAAAGCTGAACATGCTTTCTCAGGCTGTGTGCTCCTAGATTCTGTCATTTGACTAGAGAGACAAATGGCAGTTTTCGTTTGACAGTTTACGTGGACGGTGGGAGTAACTTGGCCGCAACACCTTAAAGCAACATGGGGGCAAGAGATTGGAACCTGCGGTTAAGGTTCATCTTCCAAATAGGTCAGCGCATGCAGTCCCCGCCCTCTCCCCTGTGGATGGTATTGACGGGGTCGGTGACATCTGCCTGGCCTCTGCTTGCTCTCCCCACACTTCCCAGGAAAGGTGAGTGGGTCATTAGAGATGAGCATCTTTGTTGTGTTCCGTCCAGTCTCCTGTTTTCCTGTTCTGCTGGACGTGGGAGGGGTGTTGCTGCACTGGGGTCGGAAAGAGGACCAAGCCAGGCATGGGATAGTGTAGGATCAAGAGCTTGGATTTGGGTTCAGGCAGTACTCAGTTCTGCCATCTAGCGGTGTGACCTGGAGTCACTAACAGCAACGAGGATTTTTAAACAGTGCCCACCCTATGGGGTGGTGCGGGTTCAAAGAGGTAACTTAGCATAGCGCCTGGCACAAGTTAAGAATGGAGGCAACTCACACATCATCTCCCAAGCAAGTTTAACGCTTTCCACGAGAAAACCCTGCCCCCCACCCCGCCCGCCTCCGGGAGATTCCTTTCAAGCCTCTTGAGTGGAAGAACGGGACCTGGGCATCTTCCAGCTCCGCCACCACACCCATGTGTTAACCGGTGTCATCTAATGCTGGTTTGCCAGCGTGAAAAGAATCCTTGCGAACCGTAAAGACCCGTAATTCCAGTTATTAACTCTGCAGTGGCTTTTTTGTCCATATTAAGATGCACGTAGACGAGCGGGTCAAGAAGAAGTGGGGTTGGAGAGAAGAGGCGTCCTGTAGGTGACCCGTCCCACTAAGGACGCGGCAGTGCATCCCCTTAACCTAAGGTGCAGCGTCCGGCGGCAGAGCGGGTCCGGACAGGCTCGCGGGACACAGTGGGTCCGCGCCACACCGAGCAAAACGCGGATGCGGCCCCTGCTTCAGAATAAACTTGTGTGTCCGGCGCGCACAGGAATCCCGGGACGCCAAAGCCGTTAACACCCGAGGGAAAGGTCGCAACGCTTAACGAGCAGCGAGCGACCGGCGGAGCCCGCGTGGCGCCCGCGACTGCGCACGCGCAGGCCCCGCCCAGTGCGCACGCGCAGG